CATGTTACTACTATTAGCTTTAACATTTCTATATATAGTTGTTATAAGAGGCGTGCACATGTGCAAGTTGCTTAAAGTTTAAGTAATTTGCAATAAGCATTACCCATAGATAGGAAATCATTCTAAATGACAGATTTAATTTTGTGTTTTAAGGTAGTGTATTTAGATGCAAGTCATTGTAGGGAATATTTGAAAAGATGCTGTAACAGAATTAGTATTGCTGCTCTCTCCCTCTATACAGTATTCCATGTACAGAACATTTTGTTTTTGTGCTTAAGACCAGAGAATCTTACTTGGTTTGGAAACAGTGGCAGCATATCTTTGGCCGATAATTAATAATTACAAAACCATCAAGAAAATAATTGTAAGTTTATTTATTGAATAAATTACAAATTAAGAAAACCATTACAGTATTTTATTTTCATAAAGTGAATCATAACTCATTTTACCCACCCATTTAGTTAAAAAGCTCTAAATATATAATTATTTTTTATTATGTATTAACACATCGGCTGTTTCCCACCAAAGCAGGGCGACCCGTAAAAAAAGAAACACTTTATCATCATTCGTTTCATTGGTGCCTTGCCAGAGGTGCACCTACACTAGTTTAAAAACTGCAACATATCTCCACTCCTCCAGAGTGCAGGCACTGTATTCCTACCTCCAGAGCTCAAGTTCAGCTAACCAGTTTTCCTGAATCCCTTCATAAACATTACTCACACTCCAACAGCACATAATGTCATAAAAACCATTTGCCTCCACTCCCTCCTATCTAACATGCTCATGCACAGTTGCTGGAAATCTAAGCCCCTTGCACACAAAACCACCTTTACCCCCTCCCTCCAACCTTTCCTAGGATGACCCCTACCTAGTCTTCCTTCCACTACAGATTTACATGCCCTCCAAGTCATTCCACTTCGTTCCATCCTTTCTAAATGTTCGAACCACTTCAACAACCCCTCCTCAGCCCACTGGATAATACTTTTAGAAATCCCACACTTTCTAATCTCCAAGCTATGGATTCTCCACATAATATTCACACCACACATTGACCTCAGGCACATCTCCACTGGCTCCAGCAGCATTTACCACCCATGCTTCACACCCATAAATGAGCATTGATAAAATTATACACTCACATATTCCCCCTCTTTGCTTCCATGGATTACGTTCTATGTCTCCACAGACTCCTCAGTACACCACTCGCCTTTTTCATCTCATCAGTTCTACGATTCACCTCGTCTTTGACAGACCCATTTGCTGACAAGTCCACTCCCAAATATCTGAATACATTTATTTCCTCTATACTCTCCCTCTAATCTGATATCCAGTCTTTCATAACCTAAAGTTTTTATCCTCATCACCTTGCTCTTTCCTATGTTCACTTTTAATTTCCTTCTTTTACATAATCTTCCAAACTCATCCACTAACCTCTATAACTTCTCTTCAGAATCTCCCAAAAGCAGCAGTGTTAGATTCTAACAAAGTGTTAAAAAGAATCTAACACTGTGTTAGAATCATTCTTTCTTAATCCCACACCTTTTGCTCACACCCGAGCATTCACTTCTCTTACAACCCAATCTGTAAATATATTGAACCACAGTGATATCACACATCCCTAAGGCCTACTTTTACTGGGAAATAATCTCCCTCTCTCTTACACACAATTAATCTGAGCCTCACTATCCTCGTAAAAACTCTTAACTGCTTTCAGTAATCTACCACCTATTCCATACACTTGCAACATCTGCCACATTGCTCCCTTATCATATGCCTTTTCCAAATCCATAAATGCCACAAAAACCTCTTTACCCTCATGCATGTACAGTGGACCCTCGCCTAACGCTATTAATCCGTTCCTGAGAGCTCAACGTTAGGCGAAATTATCGTTAGGCGAATTAACTTTCCCCATAAGAAATAATGGAAATCAAATTAATCCGTTCCTGACACCCCAAAGTATGAACAAAAAAAATTTTTTACCACATGAAATACTAATTTTAATACACACAAACTGAAGAAGACATGCACAGTTACATGACACTTACCTTTATTGAAGATCTGGTGATGATTGATGGGATGGGAGGAGGGGAGACTGTGGACGGTGTTAATGTTTAGAAGGGGAATCCCCTTCCATTAGGACTTGAGGTGGCAAGTCCTTTTCCTGGGTTACTTCCCTTCTTCTTTTAATGCCGCTAGGACCAGCTTCAGTCACTGGACCTCTGTCGCACATCATATCTGTCCATAGAGGCCTGTACCTCCCGTTCCTTTATGACATTCCTATAAAGTGTTTCACAACATTGTCAGTGTAATAGTCACCAGCACGGCTTGCAATAGCTGTGTGAGGGTGATTTTCATCAAAAAAGGTTTGCACTTTAAGCCACATTGCACACATTTCCTTAATCTTTGAAGTAGGCAACTTCTTCAATTTCTCTATCCCCTCCTCTGAAGCAGTTTCCTCAGGTGTGGCCTCTTGCTGTTGAAGATGATCTAGCAGCTCATCAGTGGTTAGTTCTTCGTTGTCCTCCTCCACCAACTCTTCCACATCCTCCCCACTAACCTCCAACCCCAAGGACTTCCCCAATGCCACAATGGATTCCTCAACTGGCATAGGATTCCCAGGGTTAGCCTCAAACCCTTCAAAATCCCTTTTGTCTACACATTCTGGCCACAGTTTCTTGCAAGCAGAGTTCAAGGTCCTCTTAGTCACTTCCTCCCAAGCCTTACCTATAATTACACAATTGAGGATGCTAAAGTGATCTCTCCAAAACTCTCTTAGAGTCAACTGAGTTTCTGAGGTCACTACAAAGCACCTTTCAAACATAGCTTTTGTGTACAGTTTCTTGAAGTTGGAAATGACCTGCTGGTCCATGGGCTGCAGGAGAGGAGTGGTATTAGGAGGCAAAAACTTGACCTTAATGAAGCCCATTTCTGCAGAAAGTCGCTCTGCCACGTCTGAAGGATGACCAGGAGCATTGTCTAATACCAGGAGGCACTTAAGGTCTAATTTCTTTTCAATTAGGTAATTTTTCACAGTGGGGGCAAATGCATGGTGTAACCAGTCATAGAAAAAGTCCCTAGTGACTCATGCCTTACTGTTTGCCCTCCACAGCACACACAAATTAGCCTTGAGGACATTGTTTTTCCTGAACACTCTGGGAGTTTCAGAGTGATACACCAATAAAGGCTTCACTTTGCAATCACAACTAGCATTGGCACACATCAACAGAGTAAGCCTGTCTTTCATAGGCTTATGTCCTGGGAGTGCCTTTTCCTCCCGAGTAATATAGGTCCTGTTTGGCATTTTCTTCCAAAACAGGCCTGTTTTGTCACAATTAAACACTTGTTCAGGTTTCAGTCCTTCACTGTCTATGTACTCCTTGAATTCCTGCACATATTTTTCAGCTGCTTTGTGGTCCGAACTGGCAGCCTCACCATGCCTTATCACACTATGTATGCCACTACGCTTCTTAAATCTCTCAAACCAACCTTTGCTGGCCTTAAATTCACTCACATCACCACTAGTTGCAGGCATTTTTCTAATTAAATCCTCATGCAACTTCCTAGCCTTTTTACATATGATCGCTTGAGAGATGCTATCTCCTGATATTTGTCTTTTGTTTATCCACACGAATAACAGTCTCTCAACATCTTCTATCACTTGCGATCTCTGTTTCGAAAACAAAGTTGCACCTTTGGCAAGAACAGCTTCCTTGATTGCCGTTTTCTTGCCCACAATAGTAGCGATGGTTGAGTGGGGTTTTGTGTACAACCTGGCCAGCTTGGAGACACGCACTCCACTTTCATACTTAGCAATGATCTCTTTCTTCATATCCATAGTAATTCTCACCCTTTTTGCTGTAGGGTTGGCACTAGAAGCTTTCTTGGGGCCCATGGTGACTTATTTTGCAGGTGCAATCACTAAAAAGGCTGTGATAATATGAAATGTTTCGATTGTATGCTTGGAAGCGACCGCGGTGGCTGGCTTGTAAACACTGGCACCCACGGAACAAGTGAGGCGGACTCAGGCTGCATGTGGACGCATCTTGAACGAATCGCGTTGGGCAAGTTTTTTAGCGCTAGCCGAGGCAAAATTTTTGCGTTAAAATGTATCGCTAGGCGGATTTAACGTTATGTGATGCGTTCATTAGGCGAGGGTCCACTGTACTTTTCACCTATATGCTTTACTGTAAACTCTTGGTCAACACACCCCCTACCATTCCTAAAGCCTCCTTGTTCATCTGCGATCCTGCTCTCCACCTTACTCTTCTTTCAATAATAACTACCGTACACTTTACCAGGTATACTCAACAGGCTTATTCACCCTATATTTTTTTACACTCTCTCTTGTCCCCTTTGTCTTTATACAAAGGAACTATAAATGCTTTCTGATAATCCCTAGGTACCTTCCCCTTTTCCATACATTTATTAAATAAAAGTATCAACCATTCTACAACTATCCCCACATGCTTTTAACATTTCTATCTCAATCCCAATCAATCCCAGCTGCTTTACCCCTTCATTCTACCCAAAGACTCATACACCTCCCCCACACTCATCTGGTGCTTTCTCACCCCAACATCTTATACTACTTCCCTGCCCAACTAGTCTAGTATTTATACTGCACTGTGGACAAAATTAAAGGCCTACATGGCAATACACATTATTATATTAATGCTATACTATGAAGGGAAAGAAAGATGGAAGGATTGGGGCTGAAAGATAGTATTTATAGTTGATGTAGAAGCGCTGTACGACCCTAGTGAGTTAAGCGCTTGGTTTTGATAATAATAATAATATAAATGATGCAATAAACTATGTAAATTATGAAGGCAATAAAGTATGCAGCAGTGTGGCAGCATTACAGACCGAGGGAATATGCAATATACAAGTACAGTTCCTCCAATCAGATAAAGCCAGATTATTTACAACCTTAAAACACTACTGGGATTAAAAAGTGGAATATGATAACTTATTTAAAATTCAGGCAAAGAAAACACTACTTTTATTGAATAAATATATATTATTAATCATTAATTACATATTAAAAAGGCTTAATTTAAGCCTTTATTAAATCCCATAATCAAGAAACTGGTACAATAATGAAAAACCAAGCACATAAAGTACATATTTAATGCCAGAACATTTCTGACATTAAAATACAGTACACTAACTTTTATGTCAAGTGTTTTGCATATAAAACCAATATAAAAGAAGAAAACCTACATAAAAGAATACACACTTATTATATGATTTTTACACAAATCTTATGTTCTTTTATGTAAGGGAATTCTACTAACATTATTGTAAATCTTTCGTAAATATATATACTATAAACAAAACATTTTTTCTATGTACAGTACTATATCATGCCTTATTGACATTATCTTCATATAAAAACATACAATTATGGTTCTTATTATCTAGACGAAACTGTGTCAAGCACCTGAATGGGAGTTAATGCATTTCTAATAGAAGATTCTACTAATTCACCTCCAACAACCATTTCTTCAAGAACCATATGAAGCCTATCTATATTCAAGAGAACATGTCTCTCAGAAAATTTTCCAAAATACCTATGGAGTGCACCAACATATAAACTAAGAAATTCATAAATCATTATTTCATTCTCAGTGTGGTCAGCAGCTACAATGAAGAGACATGGACCAAACCAACGGAAGATGAGCGTATGGTCTCCATCTTCCAGGAAGTGACACTAGAGAGAATAAAATATATGAAGTGCATTATATATTACTAATATTCCATATTATTACAATAGACTAACTTCCAGGATGCACTGAAAATAAGTTTGGAAAAATTATACAGTATTGCAAAGCTAAATAGTATACAATAAAAGCATATAGTACTGAATCAACATACTGTTATGCAGGTTTAGGAGTTTTGAGTAAAACCGGGGTCAAAGACCAGGCCATGAAACCCTCTCCAGGTATACTCCAGGTAATACCCACAAACTTTTGTAACTAACCAAACCTATTTTAGCTAAATGCTGACTTGCTGATTTTTTTTGACTGGTTCTGTGATGTCTACAGGGAAACTACAGCACTTCAAAATTACACTTTTTTTTTTTTTTCAAAACCAGTGATAGCTAAGATCAAAGAAAATATTTTTTGAGGTACTTGACCAACTCTACCATAATGATGAGAAGCTAAAAGTATTAGCACCATCAATAAAAGCCATACCTAATATTATATACTGACCAAAATTTCCTCCTTGTCACTTTTAGAAAGTAAAAATGTGCAATAATCAGTAGGATGCAGAGAATTTTACTCCCCAGACCCTTGGCTTGGCTTATACTTTTCAGAACCTTGTTTTGGGAACTCCCATCAAAGGATTTACATCAAGGGATACATGTTGTCTACAGGAATGCAATTACTTTCTCATTCACTCAAAGTACTGTAATGTATATAACTTACTGCATCTTTTTCTGCACCTAAGCACTTGGTGATGACTCTGGCTTCTATTGGTGTCCGACTAGATGGAGTGATGTAAGTGAAGTAATGTGAGAATTGTATGTTGCCAGATTTTGATGCTATTAGCAAATAATGCATCATACTGTATTACCCACAATCTGAAAAATAAACATTTATTCATAGTTAATGGTCATTACCCTTAATACACTCTCAATATCAGTTAAAAAAAAATTAATGCTTTATTACTAAGCTTCAAATTCAAAATAATAAGCCTATCTTCCTTCCTTAGAAAAGCTGACATTTCTGTAACAGATTAGATAAGTGCCCTTAATACATATATACGTGTGGTGCATATAGTGTACGTTACTATTATATTGTACATTATTATTTTTATTATTTTTCATCACTAGCTAATGCCAACTACCTCCAATACTCTATACTTCTTTCTTACTGCTATTAATTGCTCATAATTTTAAATTACAAGTCAAATCTTACTCCAAATTAATAATATTCATTTTTTCTTACCTGTCCATTTAATTTTGTTTATCACTACTTTTTTTTTTGTCACTTTCATTGTGTATGCAATTAGTTTATATTCCAATTACTTTTTTGCAAGTACCAAAACTATCTTTTGCTAGCTGGGTACCAACTACCTCATTTTTTTTACTTTTATTGTGCAATAAACTGCTCAATTTATCTAATATTCAAATCAGATCTTACTCCTAAACCAATATTATTTCATAGTGAACCATCTGCCCATTTAACTTTGTTTACCATTACTTAATTTTAGTCCTTATATATTTTCTCCTTTATTTAGCTTTATATAACTACCCTAGTTTATACATTCACAATTGTTAAAATAATCAAGGTGCTATTTCTCAGGTGCAAAAAGCAGAACAAGTTCCAATTTTGCCATTATTTTCCCAAAATTCATTTATTTTATAGTACTCCCTTTACTATCATTTCCCCAAGCTCCATTATTTGATCATCACTTTTTTTGTACTAGTCCTTTTATATTGTCTCCTTTATTTTGCTTAAAAAAAAAAAAACTACCTTAGCTCATTATTTTACATTTGTTAAATAATTCGGTGCTATTTTTTTTAGCTTAAGACTATTTACTCTGTTTTATATTTAAATTCTACCTATGATTCACTACAAATCTTATGATTACAAGCATTGATCCTGATACCAACCTCTTATTTAATGACTTAAATGAATAAAAACATTTACTGTAATTACTACATGCAGAACAATCAAAGGCACTTCTCAGTGCCAACAACAACATAACTATCTTTAAACTACAATATCAGATCTTTAAGCAAGCATTACGATGACCTCATAGCATTACTAAATTCCTTACATCCCCATATGTCCATATTACACTAACTAAAACTGGCTAAACCCTGATAGTACAGATGTCTTTTGCCATTCTGGTTACACAGCCATACACAACTGTAGGCCGACCAACAAGGGGGTGGCAAGCCATATACTACTCAGACCAACTAGAATGTTTCATAATACTTGCAAAAGGGAGATGAACATGGGGAATATAAAATAGCCAATTAAAATCCAAATACCTACAAAAACCTCTCACATTGATAAACATCTACAGAGTTCCACAGTCAAACATTAGCCAATTTAGTCAAAACCTAGGAAGTATGATAACTGATGCACGCCCTGAACAAAGATCACTTATACTCTCAGGTGACTTCAATATAAATCTCCTGCAAGACCCGGACCCACACGTTACTGAATTCACAAACACAATGAGTAACTGTATGTTGCTACCAACAAGTAACAAACCTACAAGAGTTACAGAGACTAGTGTTTCCCTACTTGACCACATCTGGACCAACACCATATCCCCTTTAAAATCAGGCATAATTACAGATAATACCACAGACCATACCCTACTTTCCTCATAAAAACTCTTGGTAAATTACCCCAAGACACTACTAAAGTCACCTTCAGACTTCACAAGAGGCGCCATTAATAACTTTACAACAGCAGTAGCAAACATTGACTGGCACACTGAGCTAGAATATCAATACAGATTTTTGACGAATGTATTAATAATTTTCTAAAAAAAAAGACCCAATACCCCCTATAACAAGCACTGCCCTAAAAAAACTAAGCAGGGTGACAGCTAAGAGACTGAACAGTCCTGGCTAACACCCCGCATTCTCAAATCCATAAATACAAAACCAATATGAAAAACAGTACAGAATGGGTCACATAACCAGAGACCAAACAAACGTTACTCGTCAATCCAAAACCCGCCTGATAAGAAGGGCAAAAAAATTGTATTATGAGAACAGATTATCCAACTTACGAGGTGATATAAAAAAGACCTGGAAAACCCTATCAGAAATTCTGGGAACAAAAAGATATCACGAAAATAGCGAAATAAAATTAGCCCAAAATCGATTTAACCCCAACTCCCACCAACAGAAACAGCAAACAAACTCAATGATTTCTTCTCCACTATAGGACAAAACCTTGCCAATAAATCCCAAACTCAGATACCCCACCAAATGACTACCTCACCGGCAACTACCCGAACACACTGTTCCTAGCTCCGACTAACCATACGAAGTCTCCCTTATTATCAACGCACTAAAAAACAAGGCAGGAGATTTAAATACCTTACCACCCTTCATATACAAAAAAGTGTCACAAGTGCTATCACCAATCATTGCAACACTCTTTAACAAATCCATTGAATCCTCCACCTTCCCTACAGTACTCAAAATAGCAAGGGTCACCCGATCCACAAAGGAGGAGACCAAACAGAGTTGAATAACTATAGGCCAATATCCAACTTACACCCTCTCTCAAAAATCTTCGAAAAAAAATTAATTCATAACGAATCTACTCCTACCTTATCTCCCAAAAATTTCTCAACCCTGCCCCAAATTTTGGGTTCAGGCCTAATAAAATACTAATGATGCTATTTTACACATGCTTAGAACAAAATATACACTGCAATAGAGAAAAAAGAAGTCCCCCTGGGGATCTTCATTGACTTACGTAAAACTTTTGATACAGTTGACCATGACTTGCTCCCCGTATAAATTGTCACACTATGGTATAAGAGGGCACTCCCTCACTACCTCAAGTCATACCTCAGCAACAGAAGCCAATATGTGTACGCAAATGGGCAAACTCTTCTGCACAACCAATTACAGTTGGTGTCCACAAGGAAGTGTCCTTGGGGCCCCCTTCTCTTTCTCCTATACATAAATGACCTACCAATGCTTCGCAATTACTCAAACCCCACTATTTGCTGATGACAAAAACATACGTCTTTTCCCACCGAGCCCCGTCACGCTAGCCAAAACTGTAAATACCGAATTACAGAAAATATCTACCCGGATGAGTACTAACAAACTTACACTAAACATTGACAAAAAATACTTCATTCAGTTTGGTAACAGAGCTACAGATGTCCCTCTTAACATAATGATAAACGGATCACCTATCACAAAGCTAACAGAGGGAAAATTCTTAGGAATCCACTTGATAATAGACTCAAATTCATACACATATACAACAAATTTCTAGAAATTTCCAAGACTGTAGGCATACTATCGAAGATTACGGTACTATGCTCCACAGTCAGCCTCCTGGCCCTATATCACTCTCTTATTTACCCCTATCTCACCTATGGAATTTGTGCATGGGGCCTCAACAACAAATAACCATCTCAGACCACTAATTACCCAACAAAAGGCTGCAGTTAGAATGATAACAAATTCTCACTACAGGCAGCACACTCCACCAATATTCAATACACTAAACCTACTCACCATTACAAAACATCCATACTTATTACTGCACCTATTACATACATAGAACACTTAACTCTGATATTAACCCTCCCCTCAAACATCTCCTTGCCAACCTCAACAGAACACATGACCATAACACAAGGCACAGATCACTCTTTGATGTTCCTCGTGTCCATCTCACACTATGCAAAAACTCAATGCACATAAAAGGCCCTAAAATCTGGAATTCATTACTGTAAATATAAAAGAAACACAACCTGTTTATAAATTCAAGTCTCTTCTCAAAGATTACTTACTCACCCAAAACCAAATAAATACTGAATAACTGAACATTATAAATTGTATATCTTAAATGTTTCTCACAATTATATCACATAAATGTTAAACCTAAAACCCAATCTAACTTTATTATTTTTTAAATACACTACCTAACAGAATACTCCATTCTACTGAATTTACAACAATGCATGCAACCATATGACCTGTCTTTGTAATACTCACTTGTGCTTTATAGTAATCTGTTTACATTAATGTTTTTCACTGATTTCATCATTGCTTAGTTAATCTTAAGTTAATTTTAAGCCAGCCCGTAATGCTATGCATAGTATAAGTGGCTTTGGCATGCTGCTCTTATCTGTATTTTTTTGTACCTCTGTATGTGTGCTCAAATTATAAATAAATAAATAAATAAAAAAATCTAAAGTCTACTCGTTTAAACCACAGTACGCACATTACTAACATTTCAAATTACCCTGAAGTAACTTGCACAGTAAAATAGGGGTGACCCTGCATAAGCCATGGGTTTCCCATCCACCTTAAGACCACTAAATATAGTGGCCAACAGGTAAATTAAGTAAACATTTACTTTTGCACTTCACAATAAGAAGTGGAAAGGGCAGTGCCTCTCTTCCAAAGGAATGGTGGGGATATAGCAGTGGGAGGGTAATCTGAATAGTAATGTCAGCTTACTTCCGGCAAGACATCAACTGAATGATTGACGGTAAATGTGCTTTCTTCTTTGGTGGGAAACGGCCTGAGCGGTAACAAGTAGCAATAACAAATAACGATAACAATTAGACATTTACAATAATTTTATGTTTTCTCTGGATGGGTGTTCCCCCCAATGAATGTAATAACTGCAGATAAATAACAAAAAGGCACAATACCGTGACTGGAACAACACACAAATAACCCGCACATAGAAGAGAGGAGCTTACATAAGAACATAAGAACATAAGAACGAAGGAACACTGCAGCAGGCCTACTGGCCCATGCGAGGCAGGTCCAAGTCTCCTACCGGCTTAAGCCAATGCACCCAACCTAGTCAGGTCAGGTCACATTGACTTAAGGGAGGAACACGGCAACCG